TAAGATACATTTAAAAAAATTTAATAAATTTTCATAAATAATGACTCTAAAATTTTAATTAAAAAAAAAAAAACTTTTTTAACCATTAAATCAATTCATCAAAATTACTTGAGACAAAATCAAGTCAATATTCACATTTAGTAAAAAAAAAAAAATCTAAGTAATCCTAACGTTGTTATTTTGGTAACTCAATTAAGCATTTTTTTTAAATTGAACTGATAATTTAGTCTAAAAAATAGTTTTACAAATTATTAATATCGTTTGTAGATAATTATCATTTAGTATCAAAAGTTAATGTTATAATAATTTATAACTAATTATTCACTACAATTACTAATAAATTTTTATAACTGATTAAGATTATAAATTATTAATTTAGTTACAAATGAATAGTATTAGGAAAATAATGTATTTATTAATGAATTAATTAATCTTAAATTTTTTACAAAAAATTACAGTCTTGTGATAAACATTTTTAATCATTTAAGTATACTTTAGGTGGCGCTTAAGATAATAGTAAAAGAATAGATATAAATTATTAAAATATTTATAATAAAAATAATTTTAAGGTGTAAAAATAGTTTTTAATAATATTTAATGTATAAATAAATCAAAAATCAAATATTAGTAGAAATAGAAAAAAATAATTAAATAATTAGTAATAATTGATAAGGAATAATTAAAAATTAATTTGATATATTTCAAATAAAAAAATAGAGAAAAAATTGTTAAAATATATCAAGAGAAAGGTAAGTAATGTGAGAGCGAGACAACTCGTGAGAAAGAAAATGTTTTTCTCTTTTTAATTAGGAAAACATTTTTCCAAAAATACTATATCATTTTTTGTTAATTGGAATCATTTTCTATTGTTTTTTTTTTTTTTAACGCGAAACAAACACTCGAAAAATGAGAAAAATAAGTTTTTTGAAAATTGTTTCCCCTTCAAACAAACACATTCCTATTAATAGTTTAAGATATCTAATCATAGAAAAAAGATTTATATCCAACATATATCTCTAGTCTCTTTTGAGAGCTCATTTTAGTTCGTTACGGAAGAGTAATGGAGACACATATTGCACATCTAGAATTTTTTTAAATAATAAATATTAGGCTCATGATCAGAAACTAATTAAAAAATGAGAGAATTTATGATAACTTATAAGCTCGATGTGAATAAGTATTGTTACATATAAAATTTCATGTTCCCAAATAAAAAATATAGAGTTGTGCTTTTATAAATAATGGTCTAGCTATCAATTATAAGATTTTGATAAATGATTCTACTAAATCTTTTTTAGTATGAACATGAACAATAAACTATTCAATTTATATTCCAATAGACATGCAATAGTCATTAAATACTCGAAATATAAATTCACCAATATTGTCAAAACAAATTATTTTAATGGTATAATTTAGAAATTATAATTGTAATTGAATTATTTGAGTATGCAATTTAAAAAATGTTAGATTTTGAATTGATAATGAATATGCATATGACCATCTTGTTAATTCATGTATTAAAATCATAAATATCTAATTGATCCACTCGATGAATGAATTGATCCATATACATCACCTTCATTATGCTCTAAAAAAGTTGGAAATTCAATTCTAATTTTACTTGGTGATGGTTTAATAATTAGTTTGCCTTAAGAACTTGTAGAATAAGAAAATTTATCGGATTAAAGAATCTTTTAGCTCTTCAATGGATATTTATTTAAATTTTTAATAAATTTTTACATCATAATAGATCTAAGTCGGCCCAACCGGTCATGTCACAAAATAAAAGAATTAATAAACTTCTAATTTATCGTAGCACTTGTTTCGATCGTTCGAATATTTGTATAATAATGACTATAAGAAAAGACGGATAATTTTTTCAATATAGCTTTTTTTAACCCGATGTAATAGTTATAATATATAATTATTTAATATTTTTAATATTTATTTTCTTGATATGATATCTATTTAGACAAATATCTTTGACACTCAACAAATTTATATGGGATTTAAGAGAGAATAATACATCATTTATAATAAAATTTGTCTCTTCATGTAATAATATATTTAATTTTTGGTAGTCTTCAATTAAATTGACACTATCAAATATAATTTTAATATTACCATTACTCATTATTAAACGAGAGAAATACTTTTTATTTCCAAGTATAGTATGCGCTATTGCGCTCTCTACAATACATAAATTCTTATAGACGGTGCTCGAACCAATTATGGACTTGATAGTATCTATATATTCTTCATAAATACATAAATAAATAAACATATAATAAAAAATTATAACTATTGCGATGCAATAGAAATTATAAATAAACACAAAATATCTTTTTTATTCGAGAAGCTAACAAGTCATTAATTTCGATGATCATCATTAATTTAATGATCTTTTCTTTCGAGAATCTTCAAAAAAATCAACATCTAAATATGTTAAATTACCAAAATTATTAAGAGGAACATTGTCAAAATAATTATTTTGAAATATAAAATCTACCTCTATATTACTCTCTTTACTTTTCACTAAGACTTAATAAATCTCAACAAGGTGCTTTGGTGTACAATAGATACGCAATCAATGTCCATTCATACCATATCTATAACATTTTTTTTAAAATACTAACTTGATCTGTTTTTATTCTTTTTTTTTTGTTTCTTTTCATAATTTATTCACTTCGGTAATGAGGTGTATTATCATAGCCATCATGATTATAATGATAATTATTCGACCATAACTAAAGCTATTACCACAACTATTTCCACGCCCATGGTCTGCGACCATGTCTTTGTTTTTGTTCAAAATTATTATAAGTTGTCACATTCACTTTAGAAAATGTAATGGACCTAGTTAGGTTGGATTCATGATTTTTCATCAATATCTTGTTATTTTGTTCAGCCATAAGTAAATATGAAATCAATTTAGAATATTTCTTATAACCTTTTTCTCAATTTTGATGTTGTATGAGCATATTCGAGACACAAAAGGAATAAAATGTCTTCTCTAATATAGTTGAATCAATAATATTTTCTCTTTATAATTTTTGTTAGGAAATTATTCTAAATACCTTGGAATTATACTCACTTACTATTTTGAAAATTTGTAATTTTAAGTGCATCAAATCATAATGAGTTTTAGAAAAAATTATCATCTTTTGTGGTTATACATTTTTTCTAATTTTTCTCACGAGTTCAAGCGGATCCTTCATTGTTAAATGTTCAGTTTTTAAATTCTCATAAAGATTATAGCAAAGGAAGATCATTGCCTTAACACAATTTTGCATTTTTTTTTATCATCGTCCATTATTGTTTGCAAGAACATTAACATTTAAATGTATCTCAATATCAAGCACTCGTGATAAAAATAATTTCTATCCGAAATATCAAGGGTCACAAATCAAGTTTTATGAGGTTTGACATGATAAAATTTTTATAATACAAGATATAATAATGTTAGGAAATAGTAACAAATATAATAATAAAATTCAATTTTTTTAAATATATATTCCTTGTATCATTAGATTTAAAGTAAAAGATAATCTAGATACATATCTCTTAATGATCTAAATAATTTAGGTTTTTTGGTAAGGCACTCATATTGATAAGGTGTTGAAAAAAAAAACAATAATAATAAAAAATATTTTGATAATAGTAAAAGAATTGGAGAGAAAGATGATAAAAAAAATATATTCACCATAAAAAAGCGATAACAATTCCAATACAACTTTCTTACTTTCTACGAAAACTCTATTATCCAAATTAATGAATAATGAAGCTTATTTATAGGCTTAAAGATTGGGTAGATCATTGAAAAGAACTATAAACATTTAAAAGTGCATAAAAGTTAGAATCAAATGTACTACTCTTTCAATTTTTATATTGAATGATGGATTGAATCATATTAAGAATTACGAATAGTGAGAATATGAAATAAATAATCTAAAAAGGTCTAATCACTCTTCAACTTTAAGTCATTTGAGGTGGAGTTTTGAACTTTTTTTATTGATTTTACGGATCCTTGAACTTTTAATTTCTTCGATTTTGTCCATCCTTCAATTTTCTATCATTTATCTCAAAAAATAACAATCACATAAATAATTTTATAATGAAAATCTCAGTGAGATTTATGTGAGGCTTCTAAAAAAATTTGGAATCATTTTCTATTTTTTATGATTTCTATATTTTTAATGTAGAAAAAATAAACAAATACGAGTTTTTGATTTTGAAAAATTCTAAATTTTTCCTACAAATAGGTTGAATTTGTTTCTATTACATGTACAAATTTTGGCTCAAAATATCAAGAATTTGATTTTCTAGAGAGGAAGGTGATCTGTGAAAATCATAAAATGTAATAAATCTTAAAAAATTAAAAGTTTAAGAATCCTCAATACTAATAAAAAAGTTCATAAACTCAGTCACAAATGACTAAGTTCAAGAGTTATTAGGATTTTTTTATCCAAATAAATATGAAAATTCATATAGACATTTATTATTTTATGAAATTTGTTTTTTCTTTGTTTTGAAAATTACTCCCAATTAAATAGAAATTATTTTATATAGTCAACCATTATCTCATCCAGTCCGTTTCGAAGAAGAAACCCAAACCCATAGTCAACCAGCTGGACTTTCATAGTTCGTTCTTGGCGGGCTATTGGGTCAGAGTCTAATCCAGCCCAATAATGTCGAGTCAACGCACGAAACTTATCCAAAAATAAAGACCAATAACGAATACAATCCCCAATAAATCGAATATTCGAATTTTGGGCTCTCATCGATTCTTCGACAACAAAAGGCGCTTGAAATCCAGCAAAAAAAGGGTCGATTGTTTTCAGATCTAGAGTTCAAGTTGTCTTTCAGGTACACTAATCCATAATTTCCCTTTGTTTATTGCTTAATTAGCACTAATTCAAGTTGTTTGTGGCCAATTTCAATCTCTCTGAACTAATCGATCTGTTGTTTATGCTTTCCTTATTTTAATAACAGTCAGCATGAAGTTCTTAGAATATACACCGCTGGAACGGTAAAATTTCTTTTGCTTCTTTTCTTCTCTTCTCGTTAGTTTCCTATTTTCAAATTTTGCCATTTTTGAATTTGAATTTGAATTTTACTTTTTTCATTCTTTTGTTCAGAATTAATGAATTCTTAAGTCATTTAAATCTCGGAGAACGGAGAATTAAGGGATATCTTGAACCTTACTCCTGTAAGTCCGAAATTGAAATTTACGACTAGCAGGATTTTGAATTTTTATTTCTATTTTTTTAAGGTTAGTTTATTTGTCCTGTGTTTTCGCAAGGTAAACACACTGGAACGGACAAAAAGCTTTCCCTCAGTTTGGAAAATGAGGTAATTCAGTAATATTTAATTTAATAAATTATTGCATGCTTCATTTGTATTTTTTTTCTTTTCAATTCTGGGTCTAGTTGTCCAATACTGATACTTTGCAATGCTCTTTTTTTTTTTTTTCAATGGTGAGTTAATTATATTTCCCCCAAAATTGTTATGTTGTACCTCAGAAGGTGCAAAATTGCAAAATTTATTTGCGATGGCGGAGTTTTGGTAACTTCGATCTAAATTTTAGTTCTTTCTTTTTGGGGGTGGTGGTGGTTTCCGTAACCGCGTCCACTTTAGATGCTTGATTATCTTGGGAAGTCTTCAGATACAGACTCATCGTCACCAGCTGAACTTTTATTGAGCAGATCCAGGTGGTGAATCTTATATCTTACCTAGGTAGCTTTGGAAATGCTAGCTTAGTTCCTTATGTTTGTTTGACTGGTTTTTCTTTACGCTGATTCCAGCCGAAAGACATTGATTTACCTGGTTCTTACGCTCTATCACGTGTACCCGGATTATGACTTCAGGTAACACTGTACCTTTCATTGTATCTCATATTTTTTTTGCGTGTATATTTTTCACAGGTGGTCAAAGGGGGATTATGGGTGATGCTACTGTCAGCTTTTCGTGCGACATGGCAACCCACCATACAATCCTTCTTTAACTACATGGGAGTGTTGTCAAAAGGTTTGTTTATGTATCTATATCTTTCGCTGATGGTCAAAGGAGGATTACGGGTAATGCTACTGTCAGCTTTTCAGGCGACATGGCAACCCACTATATAATCCTTTCTTAACTACATTGGGAGTGTTGTCAAAAGGTTTGACAGGCAGTTCACATACTGTTGCTCTAGTAGGAGCTGAGAGTTCAATTCTCTCCATTTCCCAAATCTAATGCTGATCATTTGAGTGGTTGCCCCTATTTCTGTTTAATATCAGATTTGTTTCATTGCCAGATTTTACATGGACGTATTGTTGCATTAATCCTTTTGGTTTTCTTATTTTACGATATTCCCTTTCATCTCTGCGGATTTCAGTGCTGTGAGAGCTCACCAGTTCTTCACGGAGGAAAGCTGGGATTCTTTTAAGCAGATTTTTGATAGCTACATGTTTGAAGCATCAAAGGTACTAGCTTACTGCTTCAGATTCTTGTATGGCAATTGTGATACATGGGTAGCTTTATCATGCTAAATACTCTTGAACCTTATTTCCCTGGATTGAATGATTTGCGCAGGCATGGATCGAGGAAAATGAGGGTAGTTCCTTGCTGGAAACATTATACAAGGCTCTGGATGAGGTGAGCCTACTCTAAAAACCAAAGGCTAGTTGTACCAAGAGGCAATGTTGTAATAATATTGTGGTGCAGGTTGTAAAACTATCGGAATGTGAAATCTACAGTTATGATCCTGATTCTGATGCAGACCCGTTATTAGAGAAAGGAGCCATGTAAGTTTCTGTCGCCTTCATGCCTTCAAATAAAAATATGTTTTGCCATGGATTCTATTAAAGGAAGAGTTTTGACATGGATTCTGTTGTTTTCATCAGTTGGTCTTTCAATTTCTTTTTCTACAACAGAAAACTAAAGCGGGTTGTGAGCTTCCGTTTCTGCTGTTTTAGGTGGGTCAACATGTTTTTGCTTCATTTCATTTTGTTGTCTTTTTAAGCTTTTGGACATTAGAGCTCTTAGCCTCTTTTGTTTTTGGTGTTGCTATTTCTATTTGTGGCAGTAACTTGGTTGCTGAAGGATTTCTCGTGGATGACTCAAGTTATGAGGAAGATGGAGAAATATTTGATGACATGGACATGTAAGTGCTGATAGGTATGAACTGTCAGTATGATGTTTATATGTGAAGATCCTTGACATCCGTCTGTAATTATGTAAGACATTATTGCCATATACTCATGGCGCTTAAGTGGTAGGATTTGTGTTCCAACTTATGTATCCATATGGTTGCTGCTCTCTGTACTTTTGAAAATGCTAACTGTAAAAGAAATGTAGCTGAAATCTAATGCTAGGCTTGTGAGTAAAACCTTGCTGGAGTCTATTCAATTCCTTGTCTTGTTCTAAGGACATTGGTATGTGTTGTGTAAGTATCCTCCACTGATAATTGGACTGAATGTCATGGATATATTTGTTTTTCGGAAATAGGATAGTATGTGTGGAGAAATGAACATTGGAGACACTATAACCTCATACGTGTTTGCAATGGGAATTTTGTTTGCAACCTGAGTTTGCGCTTTCCAGGTATGTGCATGCGAGGAAAATAGACTAGCTTTGAGCGTAAATAATCTTTACATATTAAAATAGACAGATAATCGCAATTTATTTGGTTCATTCATCCCGGAAAGGTGGAAAAATTGTTAGCTATTGATGCCTCTTTCTACAAAACTATTGGCATTTCAAATAAAGGTAACGATGTTGTCTTGTCAACTTTGGCAACTTAAGTTAATGGAGTATCAGTGCTTATGGGTAATTTGCTGATTGATGAACTTCAATTAATTAATCTGTCTTCGTTATCCACTTTGCTTTTTATCTGCCTAACTAAAATCACATGGGGACGTACACTTGTTCATTTGGCAGTGATTATGTTTAATGAAAAGGGACAGCATGTGTACTTCCATCACTCTTTTTTTTGCCCTTTTCTTTTAACAAGTACCTCCATCGCTTTCATCTCTTTATTATGACATATGCTAAAAGAAAATAAGGTATCTTTTTATTATAACTTATGTTAAAAGAAAATAAGGTTTGACTTTAGTCAAGCCCTTGTCACAATAAAATTAAATCGGTGTTGTTTTGTCTTTTAAACGTAAAAAGATGTCTTTTTTTTAAAAAAAATAAGTTATTTTTTTATCAATTTATCAGTATTTTATACTTTGGTCATTTAAGTTATTATTTTATATAAAATGATTCTTAATTTTAATTAATATTATCAAAAGGTCTCTATCAGATTTTTTTGGGGCTGGGTTTTTTCATTAATTATTATTTAATCAAAATAATTTTTTTCCCATCATCAATGGTTACTTTTTATATTTTTAGAAATATTCATGAACAAAAATTAAATATTCTTCTAATATAAATTGATTAAACACCTCCTTCTAATTGGATTTTTTAAAAATAAATAATTAATTGCATATGTTTTTTATCTATCAAAATAAAAAATATTCCTAAGAAATATTTAAATTCAATTATATATATATATATATATATAATTAAATAATTTTTTACAATGAGTGTTAATTAATTTTTATTTTACATTTATATTTTAAAATTATTTAAATTATTAAAACATGGATATGATAAATTTACCAACAACGAATGCGCAGGTATTGGTCTAGTATTGCAACTAAACATAAATGCATGATTACACATCATTTCATGGTATTTTTATGGTCCGTAAGATTATTATGTTATGTATGAATCCGGTCATACATAACTTCTCTTACCAAGAAATCGAGTATTGCAAGCAAGTAATTGTATTTTACGTACTAATTGGAAACACAACTGAATTTACTTATTTTTAGTAACTTTCTTTCACGACATAAGAATAAGATGAGGAAAAAAGTAGTAGATGAGAAGCACGCTATGACTTATGAGCTTGTCATCACGACCAAAAAAAAAAAAAAAGGGGTGAACGGATATATATGGTTTGCGAACCTTAATTTTCAATATTATGATGTTGGAATTGGGATCATGTTCGGTATTTTCAACCTAACGGACCATAAATGGTTGCGAGGCAACCAAATGAAGAAAAGTTGATGACAATACTGCGACTCGAAATCTCACCACTATTCATTGAAGCGCCAATTAGTTTTCATCGATGTGAACTACTTCGGAAATTATTCGTAATTTGATTTTGATCCGAATTTGTACTTGCATAAATACGTACTTATGTAAATAAAATCCATCGGATTGTAATTATTAATTAATACGTTGTCTTTTGCAAATTTGATTTTTTTTTTAATGTATTCATGCCTCTAACTAAAGTTGTCCATAAAAAGTAATAAAATAACTTAACTAATTTGTTATTAGATGTTACTCTATATTATTATTTTTTTTTGAATTTTTGACATGAATCTAAATTACATCACAAAGAAATTGGATTGAGGATGAGTCTCGCTTAATGCAAAATCATGAGTTGTAAGAATAGATATTGGTAGTCCGACATAATTAGTATCTATGCCTTATCTTAGGGATGTATTAAGGAGATTGGTTTGGTGGGCTTGGAGCGGGATTAGCTAAAGGAAGACCCAATTGTTACTTTCTTTATCTTTTGCTCGCAAGTTGAAATAGCTTAACTCAAAAACCTAAATCCTTCATACCAAATATGTCTATCCAAAGAGGGATCATAACTTTTAAATCTCTAATAAAAGAAATTTTTGAACTCTCTTTCACCAAGCTCTTCTATTTACACACCGGACAACACTTAAAAGTTCTTTCTATTCAAACTTTAACTACTCACATGCCGGTCACTTGACTTGCGCCTTGCTAGCACTTGTCTGCTTCTTCTCTCATGCCTCTTACTATTTGCATCATTTCTATTTGGTTGGTTCATCGTTGCTTCTACAAATCATAATACTAGATCTTTACATCTTGATCGGCTCACTCGATAAGTCATCCGATCGGTTCTTAAGAATCCCCCACTATATTTTGGTGACTTCACTAGTGAGTTAGTGATTGTGAAGAATAAAAGTCTCTTCCAATACAACGAAGAAGAACACCAATCCTACTACTAACTCAACTATCCACGATAATAATGATACCCTATATGATACTAATCATAATACCGACAACGAAAACTTGTTTAACACTAAGAATGTCAATAACCATCTAAACCCTCAAATCGATAGTGGTAGCTTGCTAGCTCCATCAACACCACCAAGAGGTGGCTTACCTCGACTCGTTGCTCGAGCCTCCGTTGTGATCATTCCAAATTTAGGTCTTCGGGTCATGATCAAAGTCTTGAAGGTTTTCCGGATGCTCAACTCGACTACAATATGAACAACAATAGATTTTCACGAGTCTTTTAAAGTAACAATACTTGTATTTACCCAAGCACTTAGTAACATCACACAACTACCGTCTATAGGCGAAATCCCTCGGACTATTGTCCTTTAAACTATAGCATAACCAACTATTAATGTTGATGATCATTCTATACCGTTTGTTCAATCGAATGATAGGAAAGATAATTCTTCATCAAACAACCACCATGTAATTGTACATGACTACCAACTGCCTCATTATGTTACTCGCTTCTTGTTATTAACGCCACTACCTTATCGAAGAGGATTTAGATTTATCTTGGATCGAAGTTGGAAAAATCTGTTGGCTAGTTTGATTTTAAGCTTCTACCTAACTCACATTGTAGGAGGGCTTTACCGGAAGGATTATGTGAGTCTCGAGTTTATAGTTTTTATGAAAACAAAGAGACGTCAAAATTTTTTTTATGAAGTTTGTAGAAACCTTAAGTGTTTATGACTAGATGATGATTTGAAGTTAGAATAAATTTTCTAAGTCTCGACTAAGAAGACATATACCAGTATGTAAACTTGGCTCCTAATTTTGTCCGGACTTAGGCAAACATGTGCAAACTATTTACTAAATTTTTTTCTCCACCAATGTAATGATCATTATATCCGATTTAGAGAGAGAATGTCAAAGTTCTAGAGAATATTTGTTCGAATATATTAAATAGTTTAGAGACCATACTTTGGACATCCGAGAGGGTTTCGATAAGAGGGAATTTATAAAATTATATATCCGGGATGTGTATAGAGAATACAAAATACATCTTGTGAATTTAGATTTGACCACTTTTCTATCTTAATAGAAAAGGCTCCATAAACCAATACTTTTATTGTTATTTCTAGAAGGAATGACTTTACTCTTACTTTTATTAGTGCCAAGAGAGATCCTTCAATCAATTTCATCCGAGCTAGATGTACGATCTAATAGAAGAACAAGAGGAGCGATTATGGAACCGAATCTACCATCACTTTTTCTTGGCACCATGGACATGATATATGCTCTATTAGATCGATGGGTGGCTGGTCAAGTTGTTATCCCTTGCGGGTGAAAAAACTCCAATCTCAAAAAGATAAAAAAAAATCTTAAGCATTATTGATACTATAGATACGTGAGGCATTCGATAGAAAACTATTGCATTTTGAGATTTTTATTTTTTGACAATCTTAAAAAAGAAAGATCATTTTTTACAATAGAGAAGTTGTTAAAGAAAACTCCCTACCTTAGTACCAAAATTACTATCGCAACCAAGTGAATGCCATTTTTTTTATGGCTTAGTTGAGTAAGGAAAAGAAAAGTTTGAAACTTACATATTTACTAAGTTGTTCCCGGTCGCACTATATGCGATGTGGGAGAAATAGGCTAGATCGATAGCTTAGTCGTACATTTTTTTGCTAAGACTCTTAATTTTCACTAATAAACTTGTTCTCAATTCTTGTAATTCTTAAGTATTTCTTCTTAATAAAAAAGATTTTATTGAAAGATTGGTTTCACTTTATAGTTAAAAGATTGCTCAATCTTTAAAGTTAAAAAAATGTATGTACTTGGCACTTAAAAGAAAATTATGAGGGCATGTCGTACGATGGCCGATCTGTGAGTATTTCATACTCGGTTTTCTTTTTCTATTGACAATGTCATATTCATCTCGGTTAAGTTAAGCATTGGCGAGTTATGATTATTTTATAGTCATTTTTTCTTTTTTGATGGCATTCCATGTTCATTTGGCCAAGCTACGTGCTTGGCAAAACTATGATTATTTTATACTTAATTTTGTTTTCTTTTT